GGCTAGTGCGTGTCCCATCGATGCAAATAAGTAATAATCAGATGGAGCCAAGTCTGGTGAGTAAGCCGCGTGCGAAAGTATTTCCCAACTAAACGCCTCAATCGTTTCTTTCACCAGTTTTGCAGTATGTGATGGGGCATCATCATGAAGTAAAATCATTTTGTGTTGCCTTTTTTGATATTCTGGTCGATTTTCACGCAAAGCTTGATTCAAATCGATCATTTGTTGTTGGTAGCGTTTGGTATCAACGGTTTCGCCAGGTTTTAGCAACTCATAATAGAACACACCTTTCTGATCCCACCAAACACAGAGCATTGTCTTGCGCCCATAGCGATTTAGCATTGCAGTCGATGCCCATGGTTCGCCTGGAGTTACCCATGATCTTTTACGCTTAGGATTCTCGAAATATATCCACTTTTCATCGCCAGTCACAATTCGATGGAGAAATGACTTTCTTTTGTACCTGGCGAGTAGCATTTCGCTAGTGGTTTTTCGGTTTTCCTGTTGTCTTTCATTCAGTTCATGTGGAACCCATTTTCCCATCTTCTGGATCTTTCCCATGGCTTTCAAACGTATGGAGACGGCTTCTCGCGTCACGTTTAATTGATTCGCGAGTTGTTGTTGCGTTTGAGCATCATCCTCATCCAACAATGATTGCAACTCGCTGTCTTCAAACTTTTTCGGTGGTCTTCCACGTTCTTCGTTTCTCACGTAAAAATCGCCATTTTTTAATTTTTTAAACCACGCAAAGCACTGTGATTTGCCAAGAGCATGCACACTGTAAGCTTCGACAAGCATTCGATGCGATTCTGCAGCGGTTTTCTTCAAATGATAACAGAAAATCAATGCTGTCCGCAAATCGTAGTTTCCAGGCACAAAATTCGACATGTTCAACGCTATTAAAAACTATGCTATTGTATGAAACTTGCATTGTTGTGAGTTGCAAATCCTTATTACATGTCAAAACAAAAGAATGGCGTCAATGAAACGGTCTGAAGGTAACAACATTAACAGCTTGCGCCACGTATGGGGAAATTCCGGTTTCATATTTACAGACCTGGTACTTAATACATAACTGAATGAAACATGTCTAAAATGTATGGCGTGAATTGTTGTGACTGAGTCTTTTTTACGACTGACTAGCTGGCATTTTCTGTCTCCATTGAGTGCAGAGTGCGTATGTATGTGTGAGAGAGAGACATACGCGAGGCGAGTGAAATAAGAATCGAGAGGCTGGTCGACATTTGTGTCTCCGAACCACGTCGATCGATGGGACAGTCATCTGCTAGTATCGTCACATTCCATGTAGCCGTTTGGTTGTCCAGGTGGCAGGGGAGGGGAACCCCACGCACTCGTTTGGTTATCCAGGCGGTAGGGGACGTAAACCCCTCCACGCACCCGTTTTGTTGTCCAGGCGATAGGGGAGGTGAACCCCTACGTGGCTCGTCCCCAGGTTACGGATAGGGTCAGCCACTGGGATGGGATGCGGGGAAGGGATCATCAACCTGAGAAGGCTGGTGGCCGCATCCTCGCATGGCATCCCAGAGATCGGAGCGAAAGTTCCCGCGGATCAAATACCAGCATGAATGTGTGTGTGAATGGGCTGGGGCATGGGCTATTTGCTGCGGATTATACCTAAGGCCGCAGGTTGGCCAGTTGGCTACGGGTGAGTCCTGCGGCCAACGAGACCCCGCGGCTGGCAGCTTAGTCCCATGTCACGGGGCCGCGGGCACTGGTGACCAAGCATCTGCAGTTGAGTGGAAGGAGTGCCTCCCACCGGGAGGGCCCTAAAAAGGCACGGCGCGACGGGGGACTCTGTGATGGCACACTAGAGTTCCCGATCCCCCACCAGGTGCCTGAGGATGGTCACCGTGGGGTTTTAGTCGATAAGAATTCGGCACTACCCGGCGGCCCTCCCTTCGGGTGGGCCCCCGGGTGTCCATAAGAATCTCTCCACGTAAAAAAAAGGTATGGTTACATTATTCAACGTGAACGAAAATCATTGCGAAAATTTCGTTTATCCTCAGATTCCTTGTTGCATTTTGAAATTTAAGTATATTTAAAAAATTAATAACAATTCTATTCGTAAGTAACTGGGGACAATCGAGGTGCACGTACACATGAACACTCATGAATAACATAATTGTGGTGCGTGTTTATTTAATTGCATAGTGGCCAGTGCCTGAAAGGATTATTTGTGGACACTCGCAGACACAGTGGACAATCGTGGGGTATGTATGCTCGCATATGGGTGACTCTTTTGTGCACAACATTGTGTATTAGAAGTGGCATTCACCCTTTCTGTGTAAAAATCTCATCGGCCGACTTTTGATATGCCCTTCTAGATTTTCATAAGACAGAATAAATCACATTCAACGTAAGGTGTTCATGTTCTCATGAGTAAACACAGAAATCTAAGGCTGTAAATAGAATTTTTCATGCTGCATAAGAACCACTAGCGCTGGCTTGCCACAACCTTCAGTGGGTATGCAGCTGTTCGCGGATTACCATTCTACAGGCGGAACTTTAAACGTTAATAACTTTCTAACAAAGCCTCAATCAACAAATTAGTATTCCTGATTTTCGTCTTATTTTGGCTTCTAGAATCTCTCATTAAAATTTTTTCCAGGGGTGGTCGAACACCCTGTGTAGACTGTGTCGATGTGAGATTTTAGGAACATTAGAACGAGATATTGTCATCGAGCCTTATCATAATTCGGTAGTCACTATTTAGCAAGTCACATGTGTTTCTTTATTTCACTTTTCATGAAATTACATTTTGCTTGTAAAACTTTGATTATCTATCCTTTAAACCCGCTTTTGGAAATTTTCAGGACTTGAGTTTATGTTACGAATGCCTATACACTGTTTTTAAGAAACGAATGATGACTGTAAAACGACACTGTAAACGTCCTGGGCTTTCGGCCCACCAACCTTCATCTCCTTCATAGAGCAGGGAAGACAATTAATAATTTGTTCTCGTAGTTACCATTGTGCAATTATACTTCATTCAAAAGTAAGCAATGAATAATCAAATTGATACATAAGAATGGGTTTATTACAAAAAAGAATCATTGACAGAGTGAATTAATAGGTTTAGCGTAGAATGACCCGATTTTAACGTTAGATATTGAAATAGTAGCAGACATTCATATTTTTCAGGGAAAGAGGGAGAGAGGTAGGGAACAGCTTTATCTAAAGGAAGGGAGAAATAATAGTAAGCCAATATACAATTTACTGCTCGAATCAATCCTCAATTATCAAAGGCAAGAGAGTTGTAAATTATTATAATCTTTCATATTAATTTCGGTGCAAGAGATATTAAACAACAATCGTAATTGACAAAAGGGATGTAACAAAAAAAAGCAAACATAAAAATCGCTCCAGAATTATTTTTATACATATTAAAGATTAAAATAGTTTGTGAATACTTTAGAACATTTATAAGTAAGTATTGATCATTGTTATATACTTAGCACTTTAAAAAAAAATTAATGAATAAAAGAAAAATTAAGCCCAAAAGAGACACTCGAATCTACGGTCAAAAAACTTCCAGCGGTTCCACAGTCCGACACTTTACTGCTGGGGCAAAGGCACCGTTGAAAATATTGTCGATTCTTTAAAATATATTGCGCTTAACGGTTGCCTTTATTTTATTTTGTTCAATTCTTATGTAATTCTGCTTAGTGTAGAAATATTGAACAGTCCACAAAACACTCATATATTAAAGAATGCATAAACATTCAACATGTAAGTTACTATAATACGTAGAAAATGAGGAAAAAATCGGTTTTTATTTTTTCTCACTACAGCGCAACAAAATGAAAACTCTGAAAAAATGCAGAATTATAGTAATAACAATACCTGTTTACTGTAAAAATATAAAAGTAGTTCTGTAACTGCTTCAATGCATAATTGACACTTTTCAGCATTTTTGCAGTTTTTTATTCAATAGGACAAAAGACATTGAGCAAAAATATGATTTTCTTTATCACTCCATTACTACCCTCATCGTCGAGATTCCGAGTTAAAAATTGGCATAAAGGGTTTTCTTTCGATAAGCTATCGAATGACCCATTGCAGGTTCAAGTTGGTTTGAGGGCACACTTAACCTCCTTATTCGGCTATACCCTTTTGCAAAATCGGTTGTCAAGCTGAAAACTATAATCGCGACCGATCAATATTTTTATTGCCCACTAGCAATTGAAGATTCTCGGAACCTTACTCATTGAACAGAAGCAGGAATCGCAACCGATCGATAATCTCCTTGGCAGTTGTCGAAGCTTCTCGATGTTTCGCGAAATCGGGAATTAGCACTCGCGCGCATGTTAGGCGACCGCTTGCGGCTAACAACGAACCTCAATAAATAACGAATCGCGAGAATCACTGGTTTATTCACGCTGCATATGCCAGAGGAGACTACGTAAGATAGGGTCACTCACCAATTGAGAATGTACGTTTGAAATAAATTGGATGTCCGATCGTAAAGTCTTGTCTCAAGAATGTACGATTTAAATAAACCGAGCGCCTGGCTATTAGAATTTTGTATCCGCATGGTGTGTCAATTATTTTGTTGCTAACCGTCCGGAGTTAATAAAACATGATTGTGATCTGCATGTACTAAAATAAAAGGTACCTAACGAAAATATATTCCTTATGTTCCCAGAACTTATGCCAATAAATTATTTTGATCTTTTCCCGAATCCTTCTTATACTTTTCATTTTACAATCAGATGACTGTGGCAGATGCTACACGATACGCCAACAGGGGTGACATCCTCAGAAATTAGTAAGATGCTACATTAGTTAATAAATAATAAAAAAAATCTACATAAAAAAGATGTATTGTATAATTTCAAAGTATCTCCTTATTTTCTTTAAAAAGTACAATAAATATTGACAATAGTTTAAAAAGAAAATTCATAAATATGAGATACTTTTAGAGCAGTTACACGAGAATCCCTCCTTAATAATGCATCAGTGAATATGAAAATACTCACTTTTCTTCTTCTCAGCTTCTTCTAGTCTTTTTTGAGTCCACTCGTTAAAAGATGGTATATCCTCGTGTGGATCCGGAGGTACTACCGACACAACATCTTCACCAAGAACAACTGTAGCAGTTTCGTCCATAGTATGTCCCATTAATCGAGTACTGGCTTCACTATCGCTCAGAACTGGAGCCGTTGTAACTACTTCATCCACTTTTGCTATTTCATCAGGAAGAACTTTAACAATCTCGTCTTCGAGCTCGAACTCAAATCCATCAGTAATAATAGAACCTTTTTCAGCCCTCACTACTACTACTTCGGATTTTTCGTCGTCAACTGCATCTGATAATAGTAATAGTTCTTCGTCCGAAATATTCGTTTTGTTAGATTCTAGACCAATTTCGTCAATAATTGATGTTGATGGAGTTTGTGTGCTAGGTGAAATTTCTTGATCTCCTTTCTCCGTTTTCTGTCCGATATGTGTGGGTTTTGTTAATAACGATGAATTCTTTGTAAATAATTTTACATTCGAGTATTCTGAATTGAATTTTGGTTCTACTAAACTTTGTAATTCTGCTGCAGCCGTATTCACCAAAGTCAAAACTGTTGCATCCTCAGTTTCAGAAATTCTGCAAGAAAGTAACAATGTGGATGTAGACATGACAATCTTCTAACGCAAAAACTGTTTCTTTGTACATATTTAATAAAAATGCCGTATTATCAAGACAAATACTCAAATGTAAACATTGCCAGTGTTTCTGTTCGTCATACTATTTATTCTTTTTTGTTTATACAGAAGGTTTTAATGACCAAACTTTGTCAGTATATTCTACAGGTCTAAATAACACAAAACTGTTGTATACAGGGTGTTCGGCCACATCTGGAAAAAATTTTAATGGGAGATTCTAGAGGCCAAAATAAGACGAAAATCAAGAATACCAATTTGTTGATGGAGGCTTCGTTAAAAAGTTATTAACGTTTAAAGTTCCGCCCGTACTGAATTTTGTTCATGAAAATGCGCAGGATTTCGGGGGTATGTCTATTCACCAAAAATGATTGTAATTGACTTCAGCAACCAATAATAATTTTTCCAGAACGATTTGAAATTTTTTAATTTAATTGTTAATAACTTTTTAACGAAACCTCAAACGAAAAATTGATATTCTTGATTTCCGTCTTATTTTGGCCTCTACAATCTGCCATTAAAATTTTTCCCAGGAGTGGCCGAACACCCTGTATACACGGTGTCTTGTTTAAGTGAGTGCAGTAGGTAGTCATTAAAAAAATATTCGTACAAAAGTTGTTTGCTTGGACGGGCTACATCATGTAGTAGTAATTGTTTTTTTGTGGACAGATTGGTGGAGGAGATATGAAGATCAATTTAATTTTCGTAAATAGAATGCTATATTTTTTTTCTTCAGAACGTAACAGTAGGCACTGTATCAAATCCAAAGAGGTGCTATACGACAGTATTCTGAGTTTGATAAAGGAAAATCTTTATCTCATGTTTACGTACTGCATCGGTCAGCGACCGACAGCCAACAGCCGCTGCTGTGTAGCGTCAAATTTGACCGTATGAAATTATTTTCCATTTGATTCTTTAATTAATTCTTTAATGATCGACAAATCAGTTTAGCAATAATCTTCAATCTCTATTTATAATATCATAACTGCAGTAACTTGATACTGTTGTGCCTTGAATGGCACTTGCGATAGCCTAGTGATAACTTGACTAAGGGTCATTGCCTACTGCTCAACGAAAGGAATCCGCGGATCAACAATATATGCTAACCGCAGCTCGGAAGCACGACTTTCCCATTTGGGATGCTGACTAAGAAATTACGATTAAATAATTCGCGATCGACAATATGTGCCAATCACGGCCGAAAGCGCAACATTCTCGGTTGGGAATTAGGCCGATGATCGATTCGGGTGGGGTTGTAAAGTCAAACCAAAGAAAATTGACAATTAGAGTTACGAATAAACAACACATACTGTCTGTACGAGTGAAGTTTATTCCTGCCGCCCGCTCGAAGTCCGGTGAATACTAATTCTTCAACCGCTCCCGAGTCTGCAACCTTCCACGCAGTACGTTAAACCCTGAGGGGTACAACAATAGGAACGCAACCAACGCTGCTCAGTAGCGGCTGTTGGCTGTCGGCCGCCGACCGATGCAGAACGTAAACATGGGATAACGATTTTCCTTTATCAAACTCAGAATAATATCGTATAGCACCTCTTTGGATTTGTCTGAATACCTACTATTACTTTCTGAAGAAAAAAATATAGCATTCCATTTAAGAAAATTAGATTGACCTTCAGATTTCCTCCATTACACCACCCACACAAAAACAATTAGTACCACATAATGTAGCCCGTTCCACCAAACAACTTTTATAAGAACATTTTTTTAATAACTACAACTCCTTTCGAGATATCGTGCTGTACTCACTTAAACAAGACACCCTGTATAAACATAGATCTTTCAAAACCTTTAGTAAACAATTATGACAAAAATACGGAATACGAAGAAAACAAAATCGCACTCTTGATTATGACAAAAGTAAGTGGACAGATGATAAAAATGAATATCAATGGAATTTAATCAATATAGCATCGATGTTGCATATTTAAGCTTTATTTACTATTTATCCTCAAAGTATACAGATTCTTTAATTTACAATAAAAATTAATATTGGTAATGCTGTAGTTTAGTGACTTTGCCCTAAATGTGTTTATTTTTTTCCAGTTTTTTTCCGAAGGGCTATATTTTAACATTAAAAAGAAATATAGATAGGGGGTAGTTGAAAAAATAATGCGGTTTTGCATTTTTTTTACAAAACAGACTTAAATTTTAAGAAACTGTAGTATCCGTGTAACGACCCCGATGATTGTTGTGTATGTTCGGAGCAATACTCAACAGGTCAAGGTAATCTCTGGGGTTGGTGAGTGATGTTGATATCTGACTTCTGTGGGAGTAATATGGGCAAACTTCAGTGATCCCGCGAAACCGCATGTTTAATGTGGAAGAACAGCTCACTCATCAACTGACTGACGGAGGATTATCCGGTCAATATTTCCTCATACCCAAAGCGTTGTAGGGTAAATCGGCGCACCGTCTAACCTGAGGTTTGAGTTTGGCGTCGGCTCGGATCCGGCGTCGCTCACTCGATAGGGGTGACATAAAACCTTTAACATCAATTATGGCGCGGGTCTATCCCGTAACATTTTTCTGTAGAATCATTTTGGTGTCGATAGGGCTAACCACCCGACAAGCTGCTTCTAAGCTTCGGCACCCGTAAGTAGGACTTTCTTTACACCGCGATGGGGGTCTCATAATGACCGAACCGAAGGAAAATATATACACATACTATGGCATTGAATAAGGAACATACAAACCAGATGTGTAGGAAGGGAGGCAGCGGAGATGAAAATAGAAAAGATGACGAAAAAGAGGAGATACGTTCTTGGCGACGACGTTCGCCAAGGAATTAAAAAAAAGTACACTGCCACTCTCTCGGTCAAAGTCTTCGACGAAGCCAAGAGGGTGAAGAGTATGGCGGAGAGGGCCGAGAATCTAAAAGGTACCTGTGTGAGGGACTTAATATTTGCAGCAGAGTACATTAGAGTGGCCGTGACGGAGCTCCTGTCACAGAATAAGAAGATGGCCGCAGAGGTCCAGCAGTTAAAGGACGAGCTGGAGAAAGTGCAACAGGAGCTGGAAAGAGCCAGAGGTCAAGAGCAAAAAATCACCTCTACCACCATCCCCTCTACACCCAAGGAAAAACGTGCCTCCATTCACCCTGCCGAGCATGCCACTGACCTCGCCCCTAATTCTGCCTTTATACCGGCAAACAAAACGGTTAGGAAGGGCGGCGGGGACGGTCCAGGGGAGAAGTAAGAGAGAACAGACTCCTCTCCCTCTGCATGGAATGTTGAAGCCCTGGTAAAGAAACTGTGAAGAAAGTGCGGTTCCGGGCGATTAGGGAGGAGTTGCTCTCCTCTCTCGGACGCCAAGCCGTCACTTCCTCACGGCGGAAATGGGTTGAGCACCTGCGCCCAGTGAAAAGTTACAGGTGACGGTGGTTAGGGGGCCACCCCAGCATCAAGTGGGGGCGACCGGCCTGACCAGGTTGCAAAAGAAGAAGGCCCAAAGGAAGAGAGCGCTGGAGAAAAAGTGGCTGGAGTCCGCAACCCTCTCCTCCGGCCCTTAACCTATTAGGCGGCAGGCTATGCAACGCCCGGCGGCGACGGTTCATAAGGACACGGTAGCATCGTCGCGTCCCTCTCTTACTCCTGCTCCTGTTCCCTTGTTGTCACATCCCCGAGCGGACAACACGTACCGTGGAATCTCGGCGGATGCCATAAGACGCGGTAAGCCGGTTTCAAAGTCCACCGAGGCTTCCGCGCAAAAATACGATCAGCAGTAGATAAACTGAGGATATCATTTTCACAATCATTTTCTCCATACAAAAATCTGTGCATTGACGAAAGTCTTTTACTATACAAAGGGAAATGCTATTTTGAACAGTTTATACTTTCCAAGAGAAGTAGATTCGGCATCAAAACATTTCTCCTATGTGGCTGTAAAACCAATTACATATTGGACTTCATAATTTATGTCGGGAAAAGAACAGATATTAATCAAAATAACATAGCTATTGGGATTTCTGGAAGTGTTGTAATGACGCTTCTTCAACCACATCTATGAAAGAGCCATACATTAATCACTGATAATTGGTATACGAGTCCACGCTTATACAGGGTGTTCGGCCACCTATAGCAACAATTTTAATGAGCGATAGTAGAGGCCAAAATAAGACAAAAATCAAGAATACTAATTTGTTGGTGGAAGCTTCGTTAAAAAGTTATTAACGTTTAAAGTGCCGCGCTTACTGAATTTTTTTCTCGAAAATGCGCAATATTTCGGGGGTATGTCTATTCACCAAAAATGACTGTAATTGAACCCTACAACCGAAAATAATTTTTCCACAACGATTTGCAATTTTTTAATTTTCTCGAATAATTTCACACCTTCTTTATTTTTTTTCTCGAAAGTGGGCAGGATTTCGTGGGTATGTCTAATGACAAAAACTGATTGTAATTGACCCCCGCAACCGAAAATAATTTTTCCACAACGATTTGCAATTTTTTTTCTCCGTTGAAAAAAGGCACCTAATTGGATTTTCAGTAAGGAATTTTTTTCTCGAAAGTGCGTACGATTTCGGAGGTATGTGTAATGATAAAAAATGATTGTAATTGATCCCCGCAACCGAAAATAATTTTTTTAAAACGATTTGAAAAATTTTTTTTCGCCGAAAAATTTCAGCACCTACTCGATTTTTTTTCTCGAAAGTAGATAGGATTTCGGAGGTATGTGTACTCACCAAAAATGATTGTAGTTGACCCCCGCAACCGAAAATAATTTTTCCAGAACGATTTGAAATTTTTTAATTTAATTGTTAATAACTTTTTAACGAAGCTTCCATCAACAAATTAGTATTCTTGATTTTCGTCTTATTTTGGCCTCTACTATCGCTCATTAAAATTTTTGCTAGAGGTGGCCGAACACCCTGTATAGTGACAGTGAGTTAGTTATTCCGTGCCACCTTTTCCGAAGACATTACAA